GACAAACGCTTAAAGGTAAATGAATCCAAACCTCCATCCACTTAACAAATCCATCTAATGCATTCTCTATCCCAGTTCGTAATGATTCACGAAAATTTTCAAAATTTATAGTATCTAACTCATGTTCAGCATCAACCAATTCATCTCCGAACAATCTATAAATATTTTCTAGATAATATTGAAGTTTTTCAATCCACATTATTATCTTATCTGGCATTTCATAAGCACGATTACCCGGGGGGAGAGTACCTATATTATTTGGCTGATGGATTTGCAAAGCTGGGTCATACCCAGTTAGAAAACTATAAACGGGTTCATAAAACTCCTGACCGAATTTAACGAGGCATTGTATTTGGAGATTAAGTCGCTTATCTGTAAGCCACTTAAAGAATATTTGCCACTTATGTAAGTATGATATGGGAACATTTTTGGCATTTTTAAGTTGTTTAATAAAAAACTGTGCAAAATTAATATGAACTTCACGTCGATTAAGATATTGTTTGGCGGTTGTAAGTTCATATACCACTGTTGACGGATGGGCTGTTGATATTTGCACATTTCAAAATTAAATATTAATTTATAAAGTTTTTTTAATATTTCCGATTTTAAATTTAGTGGACTATCTTTATCCGAAAGATCGTATTCGTCATGAAGATGAAAAGCCAAATTAAGTAGGTTAAAAGGATGTTCTTTTAATGATAATCCTTTAATAGAATCTACTTTACCAAATGCTGTATTCTCAAAATTCATTAAAGCAATGTGGGCTGCATGTAATCTGCAAGGAATTCGGAAGGAACAAGACATTGCTAATGAGTTAAATTTAGCGATTGCACCATTATTTTCTGAAGACATATAAGCCATATTATCAGTTAACCAAAAATGATATTTTTGAGGATCAATGCCCTTCTGTTTACATGTTTCGAATACCGTAGTTGAGATTGTTTCGGCATTACAATGTAATATATCTGTTACTTTGGCTACAGTAACCGCTGGTTTTGCTTTAATATCATTCCAATATGAAAAGCAAATAATTAACACTTTTATTTCCCTTCACGTACTTTCATCAGCCATAATACCGTAACCAAAAAATCGAGAAGCAGCTTCTTTAGGGTGATTTTGCTTAAATGACAAAGCTGCTATTTCTTTATTCTATCTTGTTAAGGTGTTTGATGAAACCCAATGCTGTGGCATTTCTCTTATCAAAAATTGATAGATGGTCATAGTGCATTCAACAGTTGCACATATAGAGGTTTGTCCTATATTACTAATATTAGTAGCTAACTTTACAAATTTTGCGCTATATTCCTTATTATTTACTCTAAATAATCTATTAACAGCACGTCGAAATTGAACAGGTCGAATTTTTTTTGCTTTACGAATTGATGATCGAATTTTTGAAGTTTGTCTTATTTTTGATTGTTTGGCTTTTATTATTTGTGCAGATAATGAATGAAATTTATTGTTAATTGCATATCTATTTTTTTTTAAGAGTTGATTTTCTTTCTTTAAATTACTAATTTTTAATTCTAACACGTTAATAGTGTGATTGTGTTGATAAAGACTAACAACAATAAACTCACACGCCTTTTTTTGTAAATAGGTAGAAATTATTTCCCCTTTATAAATTCCTTGAGAGTAGATCATAGTTTGAAAGAGATTCAACGCATTGAAGATTTGTTGGTCAGGTAGGTTACAAACACGCATAAATATGTCATTGCGTTTTCTTTGAACATAGGTGTTCATTTCTCGGGATTCAAAGATTTTTTTTATTGTAGAATTGAAATCATCGTCATTTAATTGTTCAAATGATGGAATCAGGTGATCGTGTAGTTGTTTTTGAACACGCATATTCATTTTTCTAGATTCAAGGGATTTAAGAAGTTTTTTTAATATAAAATTGAAATCATTGTCATTTAATTGTTTGAATGATGGAATCAGGTGATCGAGTAGTTGTTTTTGAACACATATGTCTATTTTTTTGGATTCAAAGATTTTTTTTATAATATAACTGAAAACATTATCATTTAGTTGTTCGAATGATGGGATCAGGTAATCAAGCAGTTGTCTTTGAATGGAAATATTCATTTCACGGGATTCATGAATTTTTTTTGTTAAGAAATTAAAATCATCATTATTTAATTGTGAAAATTTTGGAATCAGATGATTAAGCAGCATTGGGGGGTTATTAATATAATCTTTTAATTTTTTTATTTGTTCACATTCCCGAAGTTTTCTAATGTTTTTAAGATGTTTATTTTGTGATTTTAATCGACCCATCCTAGTATTACTATCGTTATAAGGTGTGTTGATAAAAACTTAGCTAACGCGAATATTTTGTTCTATTTGTTAGGTGCCTAATTGACAGAGATTTAAGGGCTTGAATCGGTTTGGTTGAGTATTTAACACAATTATGAAGATAATATGGAGTTACAAGGAATAGCTTGATATCAATCAAATTAAC